TGAAATGGTTTTTTGGAGGTTTCAGACAGCCACAGATGGAACTCAGGTCTCTGAGCCTCTGACCCAGGGGTTTTTAGTATGCGGTAGCAGGGCGATCCCAGGCTCTGGTGGAGCCGCCACTCCGCCAGTTGCCTTAAAAAGGCGCCAGCGCGCGCGCATCAGCAGAAGGGCTGCGGCTCTCTTCCAAATTAGGCAAGAATTGGGAGGCCGCGGGAGACGAGCTGCGAGAAGAGCGCGGACGTCACCCGGGGCCTCCCTCTCCCTCCCGCTCCTCGCGCCTGCATCACGTCCCCATGGCAACGGCGTGCCGCGGCGGCGATGAATGAGCCACTGCGAGGACAGGCGCGCGCCAATATGCGCGCCCCCTCCACCAGGCGTCACGGCCCCGCGGCTGCCCAGGGGAAGGGGGCGCAGCCCGGCGCCCAGAGGAGGGGATACCCCACTCAGATTCACAAAAGCCCAGGACCCATTCATTCCCAGCTGATCTTGTTGTGTCCCGGGAGCCCGGAGAATACTCGGTCCAAGGGTCCTCGACCCTCTGGTTCAGGGCTCCCTGGCTCCCAAGGCCCCCTTACCCGGTCTCCGCTCTCCCCGGGTCAGCCCTCTGCTCCCCAAAGCCTGCGGAAAACCGGATATTGTGTGGCTTAGCGCCACCGCGTGGCCGACTATGGGTCTGCGGCGGACGTGCTTGGCGGCTAGAGTCCCGCCGTCTATGTCGCCCTCTGGCGTCTGCAAGCGGGGAAGAGCATGAAGGGCTCAGCAATTTTCACACCAGAACCCTGATTAACGCGGGACTTATTCTTAACACACTTGTGATTAACTTGTGATCAATCACACTTGTGACTAACGTTTAGCGAACGCGCTCCATGTGTGAGGCACTGTGCTACGTGCTTTCCTGGTATTACTCCATTCTCACAGAAACTCTGTAATGCAATATATATATATATATATATATACACACACACACACACACACACACATATATATATAATAGTTTTTTTTT